CAAACACGGAAACATTTCTTCACAGTGAGAGCTGTGAAATTGTGGAATAGACTCCCTCAAGAGTTGGTTCTGGCCAGCTCAGTGGATTGCTTCAAAAAAGGCCTGGATTGTTTCTTAGATACACAGAATATAACTGGATACTAACATTTATAGGTAAAGTTGATCTAGGGAATATCCGATTGCCTCTTGGGGGATCAGGAAGGAATTTTTTTCCCAGCAGGAGCAAATTGGATCTTGCTTTGCTGGGTTTTTTTTTGCCTTCCTCTGGATCAGCTGTGGGTATAGGATTATAACTTTTTTTTTTCTATAGTTGAACTGGATGGACTTTTATCTTTTTTCAGCCAGACTAACTATGTAACACTGCGTTTAGCAACGTTTCATAATATATGGTTTTAATACGTTTAGAAAAAATAAAGTTGACAGCATCCAGGAGTGATGTACTGCATCTATCTGTACATAAACACAGTTAATCTTAGTACAAAGAAAAAATAAGTAAACAGTTGCTATAGAAAAGGCAAGAATTTACTACCGCAGCTAAACGCAGCCGCTTGTAAACGCAATGTACAAATGTAAGTGATCTTTGTGCCAGGAGTGTTGGAATTTCAAAATAAAAAAACATGCATTTACAAGCGGCAGAACAACCGCTCGTGTGAAAGAGGCCTTATAGTTAGGAAAGTCTATACACAGCAAGTCCATCTATAGAGGTGCCTACACTGCCAGGAAATCAGCTTACATAGTACACAGGTCCGCACTGTACTGCTTCCACAAGGGCAGCTCCCCCTGTATAAATAGCCTTCAAAAAGGGGAGTGACACACATACAGGTGAAGACATTAAAGGATACATTAACATTTACAAAAAAATTAATAAATGCACATTTTATTTTGCAGGAAAAAAATATGCATTTATAATTTTTTGGTTAGGAACCTGTAAAGCATTGCAGCTACAATCAGCAGATCGTGGGTGTATGGCCACAGTCCTGCAGACTGTCTATGTAACTATCTGCCCATACCTCCAATACAGGCAGTCAGTTGACAATGGCAGGAAGGTCAATAAATTACCTAGAGCGCTCAACAGTGCTCTGGCAGTTCACTGAGAGCTACAAGCTGACAGCCACAAAGGCTGTCGGTACTTGTAGTTTTCACATTCACAGAACACATAAATGAATGATGCATGCCGAGCGGACAAAGCCCCACTTGGCCGTGTTTTTTTCAGATTGTGCCAGCCAGCGGGAAGGGGGTGAGAGGATCCACTGCTAGCTGTCAAAAGGGGGGATTGGGGGGGGGAGTGGAGGCCAATACATCTGTAACATTTTACATGTTACACTCTGAATATGAGCATAACATGTTACAAAAGGTGAACGTATCCATTAACCCCCTGCATGTACCTGCCAACAATTAAAGAAACATAATAACTTTATATAGGCACCTGCCTACAGTTTGATCATGACGGAAATGCAGTGTCTTTGCCATTTCCTGTGAGCAGCACCAAAGAATCTCTTCTTTCTTATCTATCTTCTTAAAACAACCCATATCCCTGCCCCCCATGTAATGTGGATGAAGAGATTTGGATATGTCTGTATTCTATCACAGGAAAGGAGCCTAGAGTGACAACCATCTCGCTCCTTTCATAGATACAGTGGAGGAGGGACAAAGACACCTAGGGACAGAGAGTGTATTATTTGCAGGGTTACCAGGTGAAAATAAAGCAAAGCAAGCTTGAAAAAAAGGAAACAGATGCAGCCACCATGCCAACGACTAGTAGGCTGCTTTTTATTACATTTTTGGTTTTGGGCTTAGATACACTTTAATGCATGGATTGTGTTGTATGTTGCATTGGATAGACGTCTGTTTTTGCACCGTTTTTTGCTTTAAATGGAATTGATGCATGCACTGCATTAATGTGCAACATGTACACACTGAGCCTACATTAAAGCAAACTTTAGTAAAATATTGAGAAACATCTTAGCAACCATTGAGACAATAAACACTTGGTTATGTAATATACAGTGGTAAGCAGTAAGCAGTAAGTGTCATAGTGCCCCTTAAATTGCTGGTCAGTACAAAGAAGAAAAGATGGCCAATGTCTGTGGTCAGCAGAATGAACAATGGTTAGCTTTGATGGTCTGCAAGGGAAAAAAACGTCCCTGCATTGAATGTAAAGGATAAAAAAAAATCTGGCATCAGAAGGGTCAGTGGGAAAATGCCCAGTGTTAATGGCCAGGGAGAGGAAAAATAGGTAACGGTGGACAATGGGAGGAAGGAAAAAACTTGTAAGAGCCCATTCACATTCTATGCATGAAGGTGAAAAAACAGTGTGCAGCTACCCCGCAGTCCCCCCTAATACTTACCTGATCCCAATCCAGCGAAGTACACAAGAGCCAAGGCTCTTCCGAGTCTATCCCACCTCATTGGCCTCACTGAGGCACAGCAGCGGGTGCGGGGCTGAGCCAAGCTCTGTGTGTTTTATAGACACACAGAGGTGGCTTAGTAGGGAGCACACAAGAATGCCACCAGAGCAAATTGCTTGCACTCAGCAGGGGGGAAGGGCCAGAAGTGCACAGAGCAAGGTAAGTATAACATATTTGTTATGTAGCGCAACCCTCTTGAGGGCCGATGTGTTTCTAGGCCCCCTGAACTCTGCACAAGCAGGCAACACGTATTTTCCACACTTACATCCACAATCAGTGAACAGTCCATGAGCTTGTTTTTTTGTTATTTTATTTGGGGAAATAACTTGGATAGGGTAATAGGGATTATGGGATGCCCAACGTGACTGATCAATGCACGGGGACAACTTCCTTCCTATTTACAGAAACAGATCCTGGACTGTTCTTTTCCTTGAAAGCAGTCAGTCACTGCTGATCAGTAGCAACAGTCCCTTACAGGCTAGCAACTTGCAGCCCCTCTGAAAGTTATCTTAGCTTGTTGCAAACTACATGCAGAGATTTCTCCTCTCCCTTGTAGAACTGCTCCCAGCTCCACAGTCTGCAGACACTAGCAGCCCTCCTGGCTGCACTGAAGATCTCCCAGGACAAGGATTAAGGATTAAGCACAGCGCTGTCCTTAGAAAGCTTGCTACATGTGGCAGTCTCTCCCCTTGTAAATCCCAGGGTGTGCTGATGTACTCACTCTGTCCTCCTTTCTTCCACTGCTTCCAGGCCTTGATCCTGTTCATGCTGTTATGCTAAGTGGACCCTCCTGTGCCAGCCCGAGCACAGCCCTAGGGGACAAGGCCACTGACAGTCTCCTCAGCACTCCATCTTTCCCTGCCAGCTTGACTCTCCCATATTTATGGCTTGGTCTCACCACTCTACATGGGCCTCCAAACCTGGGATTGGCAAGACTCCCATAAACATGCTGACTACGTCTCCACCCCTTCTGCCCACTGGCTTCTGTAATTTTCCATGGTCCTCCAGAACCAGGTGGAGGTGATAGAGTCCCAACCTGTTAAGCCTTCCAGCCTGATCTGCAGGAACTCGACCTAATTACAGACACAGTTACCATGAGTCATACACAATAAATTTACCTACACTATCCTGGTAGCACTCTAGAGGGTGCTGCAGTTATTTTAAAGAAAAAAAAAAAAGAACCACTTAAACTTTTCATAAACTTATCCAATCTTCCCACCATCCTTAGTGCAGAGTGCCCTGTTAATACGTACCTTCCCACAGTTTCAGTTGATTTTCACTGGGCATCTCTGTCTGGTGCTGCACAGCTCTTCTCTTGAGACGTTCTAGCTGGCTCCTATTCTTAGTGTACACATGTGCTATGGTCCAATGAAGACAGACTGTGTGGCATTAGGCAGGGCTGCATAGCAAGGATCGCTGGATAGGTAAGAGTGCAGCAGCAGAGTGGGGACTATTATTCTCTCTGGGGAAGCAGTGGTCTCATTGCAGAGCTGATCAATTTAAATGAGCTAAATACATTCTAGGCATGTCAAAACAAATGTGTCCATGGTCTTACAGATCACCTCTCTCTAAAGCAGTCACTGCCTGGGTAGCAAAAGTCTGTCTGCCCTGGACCTGCCCCCCCCCCCCCAGTACTCTCCAGCACAAATCTTCCACCCCCCAAATCCCCCTCCCAGCACAACGCCTCATCATGGCACAACCCCCTCCATTCCCCCTTTAGTCCCCCAACACCCCACCAGCACAAATCCTTTCCACACTTCCAGCACAAATCCTCCCACCCAAATCCCCCCTCCAAGTACATACCCCCATTCTAGTACAAATCCCCCCCCCTTTTCCCTCCCCTTCCAAAGCGCTTCTGCACATATCCTCTTACCCCCTCCAAATGACTCTTTCCAATGTAAATCCTTGTTACCTATATCCCCCCCCCAGGTCACTGTGTCCCCCCCATCCCTATTAAACTAAATACAGACCACAGATCAGAGTAGGTGATGCAGAGGGATGTACCTCCTCCCCGGATCCTCCTTCTAGCCTGTGTACATAAAACATTAGAGCCCAGGTGGGGCCTAGCTTCTGTTGGCTCTGAAGTGATTTACTGTGACAGGCAGCTGGCTGGGAGAGATACTAGCTGCTATAGAGGGGGTGATCCCAACATCAGGAACCCCAGGCACTCTGTTAGGGATGCAGGACTGGTGGCCAGGGTACCCATGCCAGCTTGACTCTGCAAGGCAAATTAGTGGAGCCAAGTGCAGGACTTAGCCCGGATTCTCTGGATTCAGTTTTACTCTTTACACATTGCTATAAAAGAGTCATACACAGGGTCGGACTGACCATTTGGAAACTTGGGCACTGCCCGAGGGCCCGGGGTCAGTAGGGGGCCCCATGAGATGCCCCTGGTACCTTTTTTCATAGGCTTTTTTGAGTTTGGGCCCATGATCCCCTATTGCCTGGGGGCCCCATGAGTTGTCAGTCCGCCCCTGGTCATACATTCATACAGTATATCTGTAATTTGAGGGACACTGTACTTTCTCTATTTCTGGCAAACTCCTCTGGAATATAAGAAGACTACTAATAAACCCTGTTTCTATTTTCTAGGGATATGAACCAAACTCTTCAGTAACAGAAGCAGCTGAACAGTTTTCTAAAGAGGTAAATAAGTAAACCATAAAATAGTAAATTGTCACCTTTGTGCCTCAAACAATGAAAAAATGATAGCCCTGTGTTAGTGTGCTGATATATTTTATTTAGCATTATGCTAGGATGAAACTTGTGCTGAAACCTTTTCCTAATTTTGGATAGGGTTAAAATGCCTAGCAGGCTATTACTGTCTGTATCCCTTCTTAAGGGCTCATTTAAACTTGCTTCAACTTCAACACACATTAAAATGCCTACCACTTCAACATGCTTTTTTGATAAAAAAAAAAAGTCCAAGAAACGCGTTGAGCTTTCTAAGAATCTGAATGTCATTTGTACTGTACTTGAAATGCAAGTTTCAACACGTGTGGTTTTAGACACTAAATCTGATGCAAAAAACTTTTATATGTATACATAAATTGTATGTTTTAATTGCACCATGTCAAATGATTTGTTTAATTAAATGAAATAGGGATGTGGTACCTCTTCGGCCATTTACTTTTGAGTGCTTTTTTGATGCTTCATTGATGCTTTTTTGAAGCTTTTAATGAAGTTTGGCAAATGTCATGTGCATGATTTGATTTTCTATTTAACCACTTGCCTTTGCCAATTTTCAGCTTTCAGCGCTGTAGGGTTTTCAGTTTGCTTCAAACGCTGTTTCATATTACAGTAGGGATGCAAGGGTGGCCCTCCTGCATTGCCTAGGTTTGGGTCTATCTAGGTCTCAACAGAAATTGGCATCCTACCTATTCATTTCGGCCAAACATACTATAGCTCTAGCTATAGGTAGTCTTCCAAGGGGTGAGGATGAATGCTATGTTGTTCAATGAGCAGATGTCCAGCATTGTTCATGATTCTCATCCGAGATTCCTTAAGGTTTGGGAACCTTGGATACGCTATTCCTTACCATCCCTGCCTCCTACTAGTTATGGCCTCCTATAGTCGCTGCTGGTGCTGGCCCCCGGTCCATGATCCCTTTAGTTTCCCTTCTTTCATGTTTTCTTTCTGATTCCCTTTTGTTTTATTTTCTCTTTTCTTCTAACTTCTTTTTCTTTTCTCTTTTTTCCAATACTATGTTGGATTCCTGCTGCTATTTGGCTCGGCTGTTTACGTCCCTTCTTGATGTCATTGGACTTTTTGTTATTTGACTAATACAAGTCAGCAGGATGTCCCTGTTTATATGTTATTGTTCTTCTCTGCCCCTGCGAGGGCGTATTTTGAGCTTGCTATATTCTTAAAAATCAAAACTTTCCTAATAAACATATTGAAACAGAAAACCCTCTAGAATCTCCATGGGAGATCATGTCCCTGAAAAATGTATGGAGAATCCAATATAGGCTAGGCAACACAACTGGCCAAGGTCTCTTATGCAAGTGTAGCAATGCCCCCTTAGGAGTCACTGAGCTTTGGGTCTCCTAAAGCTCTGCACAGTCAGGCAACGCGCATTTTTTTCCACACTCTGCACACTGGAGACAGTAAACAGTCCTTGAGCTTGGTTTTGTGATTTTATTAAGGGATTCAATAACTTGGATGGGATTGATGGGTGTATGGCACACCCAAGGTAACTGCAAACCTGAGGACAAACTCCTTAGCAACTATGTACAGATGTGGACAAAATAGACACTCCTTTAAGAGCATTCCAGCTCTCTGGTGTACCTCCTCATACCCCAGATAAATCCTCCTCTTTACCCAGCTGCCTGAGGGTATTCCCTGGGCAAGGGGCCCAGAAACTGCCAATTTACCATAGCAGCAGAGTTTTCCACCTGACTGCCCTCTCCCCTCTTCTGGCCCAGGGACTGTAAGAGTACTCACACTGTCCTCTCCTGATAGCTTAATGGGTTGGTGGCTGCCTTCGGGCCTTTTGCTGGGCTGGCTCCTTCCTTGCTGCTCAGGATGTCCTCCCTTGGAGACAGTGGTACAGTGAAGATCCTCTTCTCCAGCACCTGCCTGTAGGTATGCCCCTTCCCTTGGCCCCCTCCCAGGCTCCACACTCCCATCTTCCACCCGACACTGCCCCTGCTGCACAGGCTCTGCGATACTTAAGGGTTGCCTTGGTCACCATGCCTAGGCTCTTGCCAAGGGATTGGCCAGGTATGCAGATCAGAGCTTCCTCCTCTCTTCCATCCCTCCTCCAGAAAGCTCTTAGGTTTCTGAAGAGGTGGGAGGGCTCCCTCACCCCCAGAACCCCCTAGCCTGTCCTGAGGTAACCTCTGCTTCACTCCCAGGCTGTCTTATCCCAGGCTGCCACTCAGCCTCTATCTAAAAAAGTTAAAACAACAAACTCTCTCTAGCTAAGCTAAAGAGTGTTACACAAGGAGTGGAGCTAACTTTTAATTCCCAGTTTTAAGTTTCCAAAAACGTTTGGAATTTTTCTATACAATTCTTTTTCTAGGCATTCTCTGATTGGAGGAGGGGGACAGAATGGCTTGTATCCACTGAAAAAAAACAGGGCATCCACTCAGCACTAGATCTAGAAAACTGCTGATATCACTGTAAAGGTGAGATGGAGCCCAGATAAACCTTCCCCCACATAAAGGAGTAATGGGTACTCCTTCACAAGAACAACCAACAAAGTACATAAATACACAAACTCTGTAGTAGTAAAAAAAAACATGTCCCACAATGTAAATCTTGTGTCAATCACCCATATGGAAGAAAAATATATTTGAAAAATATTCTTCCCAAATATATTGACATATATTTGAAAATGCCACAATTTTTCATATCGCCAAAAAAATCTGAAGAATATATTTAAATAATATATATTTTTAAAAAGATATGTTTTTTAAATATATTCTTCAGATTTTTTTAAACATATAAAAAAAATCATTTTAACATATATTTTTACATATATTTGTAAATGCATTCCAAAAAATGTAGATTTGTACTGGTAAAGACATACAGTATATTTGAAATTGATTTTTAAAAATATTTTTCATATATTTTGTAATAAAAACGCATTTCAACATGCAGTATATATATATATTTATTGAAATATATTTTGAAATATATTGAATATGGCCAAAATTGTAGCATTTCAAATATATGTCAATATATTTGGGAAGAATATTTTCAAAATATATTTCAAATATATTTTTCTTCCATGTGGGTCATGTCGTACAGTGCTGTTGTTCCATCGTCAGTCAAGATAAGCGATAAAAGACATTTCACAACCATGTTATTTACAGGAATTGTGTATTTTGAATGTTGCTCTCTACACCTATTAAAAAACCAGCTCCCTGCTGAACAGTAATTTTACTAAACGGTTTTATGATAGTTCACTATTACTGATGCTTACTTTTCTTACTCTTCCTTGCCTCCTTGTTCACAAGAGTCACTAGTAAAAAGACCTGTGTAAGTTCAGTGTTCAATGTCATAGCATAAGACCTTCTCTTAGCCCCCATGTGACTAGCACAATGCAATGAATAGTGATAGAAAGGGGGAGGACCACATGCTGTCTCATATTTGATATTTCACAGGGCTTTGGCTGGTAAACAGGGCAGTGGGAGAATAATATGGGTAAAGTAATTATCTAGATTAGAGATCTAAACTAGAGGTAGGCTATTAGGTGTTACTTTCCACAAATGACAAAGTAATAAGGTTGACTTTAGGGGTCTTGGATAAATACACCAACACATTTAGGGAAAAGATACTCACTTTAGAAGGTACTTTACGTAGGCTGGCTTACACCTTGGTTTTCACAGTGGATGTCTTAAAGGGTATGTGACATAACAAAGTTAAAGAGCACCAATATAAAGAAAGCTGGATTAACTTTTTGTCTTCTAGTGTGGCACCAAGCTTCTCGTGACAAATGATCCTTTGGAAGCTGCCAGAGGAGCCAATGTGTTGGTAACAGACACGTGGGTGAGCATGGGCCAAGAGGAGGAAAAGAAGAAACGTCTTTTAGATTTCAAAGGTTATCAGATCACAATGAAGGTACATGATGGATGATGTTGGTATTTGTGCAGTAAAGTAAATGACAGTGTCAGTAGAACACCGTTTAGCCGCTATTAACCATACCAATCAGCTAAAGCTGAAAAAAAAACCTGCTTGCTATACACTACAGAGCAAAAGGGTTGCAGAATAAACAACTTCCCAGTTCTATATAAGAATTATTTCTTACAGTGCCTTGAAAAAGCATTCATACCCCTTGAAATTGTCCACATTTTGTCATGTTACAACCAAAACGTAAATGTATTTTATTGGTATTTTATGTGATAGACCAACAAAAGTTGCACATAATTGTGAAGTGGAAGGAAAATGATAACTGGTTTTCTAACTTTTTTACAAATAAATATCTGAAAGTGTGGCGTGCATTTTTATTCAGTCCCTTTTATTTTGATACCCCTAACTAAAATCTAGTGGAACCAATTTCCTTCAGAGGTCACCTAATTGGTAGTCTACCTGTGTGTAATTTAATCTCAGTAAAAATACAGCTGTTCTGTGAAGTCCTCAGAAGTTTGTTAGAGAACATTAGTGGACAAACAGCATCATGAAGGTAAAATAGGAATAATCAATTAGCAATGTTTATCAGGGTATACAGTCATGAGTAGTATGCTTCAACTATTTAACTGCAGCAAGAGGGAGCAGAAAAGGCTTTTTGACTTATCAGTTCCCTCCATGCCACCAGTGCCGCAACGGGGCATACAGAGAATTATGTTAATATATATTCTGGCACAAATAGATATAAGTACCCCATGTTGCATAATAATGTCATCAGAAGAGAAAAGGTCCCTTTAACTAGAGATTGCGACTTGAGACCTATGATGTTTAAAGTTCCTGATATGGAGGTATCCACTGTCTTCTGCTAGCAATGGTGGGGCCCATAAGCATTAGTGAACTCTGTAATTCAATTAAGTTAATCAGATGAGCTGTGGTACTGCTCAAAACAAAGGTCTCCTGGTAACTGTGGTGTAAAGGTGTCTGCATGCAGTGTCTCTAGAGTGATTACAGAAAGAGGTTGGGCATCATTCTATCCTATCCTATGCTATGGAGAGTAATCGGGCACTGCCAGTCATGATGTAGAGAAGCTGATGCAATCCTCATGTGTTCTGATCAGCATCACTGCTGTGCTGAATTGATGTGCAGAACCCTGCAGCAGTAGGCCAGCAATCTGTCTCTGGAGGAGAATGGCATTTCCCCTGTGTTTAGTTCTGAATTCTGCACCAAAAGAGAGAGACAGTCCCTTGCTCTTCCAGCATCCTTCTGGTTCGCCAGCTATCTGGTAGTGTAGTTCAATCAGCATTCAGAAATACAGTATGTATGGCTATAGGACTACAAGTCCCAAGATTGTATGCTGTTAGAAGAACTGGATCCACTCTGCTAACAGGAAGTGATGTAGCAGTCCCATTACTGGGCACTAGGGGAAAAAGGATTAATCAGAGCCTCATCTCTAAATGTCCCTGAAATGCATAATTTATAGCCAGCACCTGGATACACATAATTTAGAATTGGCCCTGTGGACACCACCCAGATCTACAAACTTTGATTGAGAAACCTAAGGAGTCAGGCAGAATAAAGTCATCTGAGCTATTACTGCAGCCAGTTAGTTGCAGTTACAGATTGGATATTCTGACAGCCACAGGTCCTGGACACAGAATACAAAAGCCTGTAAGCAGGTGCTTACAGGGTGTCTATGTATTTTAAGCCCTGCATAAAATTCCTGTGTTAATGACAGCTCTGTGATTGCAGTAAGCAGTTAGTAAGCCACCCAGGTGGGAAGGAGTTAAGCCAGGTTCTGAATTCTTCCAGGCCTTCTGGTCTCTGCCCTCCACCTTGTGCTGCTCAGAGCTCTGAGCCATGGCCTGCTTGGGAACGAGAGGAGAGGTCCAGTAGAAATAAGTAAGCTTCAGCAACATTCTGAACACCTTGGGGAATATCCCCTGGAACTAGGACTCTTCACCACTATGGACTCTTACCTTGGAAGGTATGCACTGGGCAGCCTATGTTAGTCAGATGAAGACTGTTATTGCTCTGTTGGACTGTATGATTGAGAATACTCAGTAAAGTTCCATTAACAGTTTAATTCATGGTCTGAAGTTACTGCAAGCGGGCGCTTGGTGGTATATGACGTATCAGAAGGGCCCGTCACATACACATGGGTTGAAGTGGAGAACATGCAACAAATGTAAGACAATGATATGACAGGCAGACAGAGGGCTATCAAGCAGGACAGCATCTGCGTGGCAACGACCCTAGGGACCTGGTTGTGGGTACAGAGGCAATTAACCCAGTTAAGTTGTTCACCCAGGGGGTTCGCACAGTGTCATGGCAGAACCTGTATTCTATCACTGGGAGTGAGGTGATAGGAGAGATGAAGTGGTGAAACAGGACATTGCTCTGTGGTGTCTCCTTCAAAATGTCACGTTCCAAACAAAGGTGTATGCATCATGGGACAGTATGGTGTGTGCAGCAAAGCTTCAGGGTATGATGCAGATACATCGGTTGTACAGCTCTTGTCTAACTCACGGTGCAATCTTAATATTGAACCCCACATGAATGCGGCCCTGTCTGGTCCCAAGTATTAGTGATCACGTACACCGGAGGAAGAGAGAGAGTAAAGGCCCTATGCGCACGGTGAGGTGGCCCTGCCCACCAATCAAGTATTTTTCCCTTTTTCAGACATCTTTTCTCTCGTGTGGCTGGTTTAAGAGCCCAACTACCCTGCTGTAAGGTAGAATCAGACCCTGACCGATCATGCATTGCACAGTAGCAAACCACACTGTACAATGTGTTGGTCCAGATGGACAATTTCTTGGTCCAATGACAAAAATGCACTAAACATGCAGCAGGTGTGTTGCCAGGTGCTTCAGTAACAGCCATTCATGTAAATTACTGCAGTGTGAATATCTTCATTAGATGAGTTTCTTCATTAGGTGTTAATGTCTTGAATGTCTGTATGTTCTGGAGAAAAAGAAAAAGTGATATTTGTTATCTCTGAAGGCTGTTTTCTAAAACGAGCACGCATCTCATATAATATCCTCTGCTATGAAAAATACATAAGTACAGAACCATTTGTAGCACTTTACTAGTCAGCTAGGGGGAGCTAAACTCCAATTATTAGCAAAGAGGGCTAGCAGGGGTCAAATTATGGTCAAAGCTGAGAGGCTTTGCAGACCAGCCCTCTGGAATTTCCCCATGCTGTAGAACTTCAAAGAAAGGTCTAGAAGCATTGGGCGGATCTGAGGATGCCTTATCTGCACTTTTGAGGGATCCTGGCCAATCCCCAACAGGAGGCTTGGCAAGGGGACAGGACAACTCTTAAAAGTGACAGAGTCTGCGCAGCAGCAGGAGAGTTGGAGGAGAGTTCAGTGGAAGAAGAAGATGTGAGGCTGAGGAGCAGGAGCCTGGGACGGGGCCCAGATGGTAGAGGGGCTGACTTCCAAGAAGAAGGACCTGGGAAGTAGGAAAGCTGAGACCTTCACCGGCCCCCAAAGCGAGGACCACCAGTGTAGCAGGTAAGGAGCAGCCCAGCTAGAAGGTCTGGTAGCAGCCACCAGCTGCATAGGAGAAGGACTGAGTGAGTAAACCTGCACCCCCTGGGCCAGAAAGGGGAAGGAGGCACTCTAGTGGGAAGCTGGATTAGCCTGCCACTCAGGACTGTTTCTCTAAATTTGTGGCAAACACCGGATCCCCTGCTCAGGGATTCCTCCAGACAGTGGTACTACAGGAGATGCTGGCTAGTTCTCCAAAAGAAACTGTTTTGCTGTAAAGACTTGTAAATAGTTCCAGGAAGTTGTCCTCGGTTTCTGTGTTCCATTGGGCATCCCATACACCCAGGGGCGGACTGACCATTTGGAAACTCGGGCACTGCCCGAGGGCCCTGGGTCAGTAGGGGGCCCCATGAGATGCCCCTGGTACCTTTTTCATAGGCTTTTGGGCAAGGACACAGGGGCCCCATGATCCCCTATTGCCCGAGGGACCAATGAGTTGTCAGTTCGCCCCTGCATACACCTCTTACTCCATCCAAGTTCAATTCCCCGAAAACAAGCTGAAGGACTGGACTGTTACTGACTCCTGGACGCAAGTCGGTGTGGAAAAGCGTGTTGCCTGGCTATGCAGGACTAAACGAGGACCCAAAGTTTTTCTACTCCTAAAGGGGTAGTGCTACACATTTATAACTCAGGAAAGGTCAGTTCACCATTGAGGAAGCTATACAGTCAGCAAGAACTGTATATCATCTGTTGTAAAAGGGTTTTTATTGTTAGGCATTGAAATTATTGGAATTCTCACATTCTTGTGTGAAAGTTGTCTATCAACAAGAAAGCATCTGGGCACATGCACTTAAAGAGAGATAAAAGATCCACATTAGATTGTGATTCAGCCTGGATTGCCCTAGTCTACGTCTTGCTGAAATTGCTCTTCTTCATCTGTAGATTGTAATGGGAATGAATGAGTGACCAGATTATATTGTATTAAGATTTGTTTGTTTTGTTGCCCTGACGCAAATGTTTATAGATGGATTTTTTGCTAACCACCAGGATTGAATATTTACCAGGAAAATGTTCTCCTTTCTTGCTAACTAATTCTGGCCAGTGGTACATTCTCTCCAGGAAGAGAGTAACTTGCATATTGATTAGCTTTTGCAGTGTTGATGGTGCAAAGCAAATATTCGTTGTTTGATTGAGTGATTGTCAAGGAGTGAACCTCTGTGTCACCAATAGCAGAGAGAGACTGTTACCTGTACTGACTTCTCTTCTCTAGAGATGCTGCTGGTGCTAATGTTGGGTTGCAGTCAGGGGCGGACTGACAACTCATGGGGCCCCCGGGCAATAGGGGATCATGGGGCCCCTGTGTCCTTGCCTAAGCTCAAAAAAGCCTACTAAAAAAGGTACCAGGGGCATCTCATGGGGCCCCCTACTGACTCGGGCCCTAAGGCAGCACCCGAGTTTCCAAATGGTCAGTCAGCCCCCACTAGCTATTGGGGACAGCCAACATTTAAGGCAGGACCAAAACACAGTGTCAAAGCATGAAGCAACAACAACTTGCAAAGCCATCCAAAACTGGGCCCCCAGCTACATCACTAACCTAGTCTCAAAATACCAACCAGATCGCTCTATTTGTTACTCCCAAGACCTCCTGCTTTCTTGTTCCCTTGTCACCTCCTCCCATGCTCACCTATAGAACTTCTCCAGAGCCTCTCCCATCCTCTGGAACTCTCTAACCCAATCTGTCCAACTATGTCCTACTCTGTCCACTTTTAAGTGTTCCCTAAAATCTGTTCTCTTCAGAGAAGCCTATCCTGCCTCCACCTAACAACTGTACATGTATTTTCTCCATCAGCTCATTCCCAACAGTTATTACCTTTTGTATCACTTGACCCTCCCTTTTAAATTGTAAGCTCTAACGAGCAGGGCCCTCTGATTCCTCTTGTATTGAATTGTAGTGTAACTGTACTGTCTGCTCCCATGTTGTAAAGCATTGTGTAAACTGTTGACACTATATAATTCTTGTATATTAATAATAAGAATGAAGCAGAGATGAAGGTAGGACAAACTGAAGAACAAAGCTTTCAGCAGACAAATGAAGGTGAATAACAGTCCAAGTTTTAACCAGGGTGTTTTCCAAGGATGGCCTGAGAGACAGATGCTGAGTACAAGCCATGCTGTACTCAGCATCTTCCATTGTCCTAAAACACAATGGCAGCTTGGCAACTCCAGGTGAAGACTCATTTAAACAAGCACTAATCTGGGTAATTAATCCCAGTTTAAGCTGTTCTAACAAAGTCAGGCGTGCATCTGAAGCATGGCCACACAGTAAGGCCTCCTTCACACGGGGTGTTCTACAGCGTATGCCTGTGCAAGGCCATGTTTTGTCCACACAGGGATGCACAGGTATTCTGTGCATCCCCATGCAAGCATTTCCATTGATTTCAATTGGGGTGCAGTGGCTGCATGGACACAGCTGCTACTCCCAATTTGACAGCTGTGTGGGTTTGGGTGCATGTCCCTGAATTCACACTGTCTGCATTCAGGGCTGTGCACCGGCCACCCGCACAGATGCAAGATTGGAAGCAGCAGCTATGTTAGTGCAGCTGCTGCATTCCATTTGACATCAATGGGAATGCTTGCATGCGGATGCACAGAACACCTGTGCTTCTCTGTATGGGTAAATGGAGCCTTTGCATGGGCGTACCCTCTAACATGCTCCATGTGAAAAAGGCCTAATGCCGAAAACTAGCCAGCAAGTGATGGGGTCAAGAATCTAAACACAACAGGTTACTACATGTCAGGAAGAATATAAGTGGTACACAGCTTTGGGCTAATTGTTTCAGTGTTGAATAGTACTTGAAGGAATACTACGTTTTCTGCACTGGTACACTTTGCCAAGATGAACTTGGCTCATGGATATTTATTCTCCATTGCTATTAGGCTACCTAAAGACTTTTCCAGGTTAATCCAGGATTAGGGAATAAACATTTTAAGTTATAATAAGGCTTAGGGTAAAGTGTTAAAGCATAGTTGTATGGACTAGGTAAAGGGTTAACATTAAGTTACATTTTAAGGAGTTAAAGTATATGTAAACCCAGTCACTAAAATATCATATGTAGCACCCTCCTAGGTACCTGGGGGGAGCTAGACCAGGCCCAGACCTAGGGGGTGCTGAGGTGGGCTATGCCCCCCCAGATTTTAGTTGTGCCCTCCCAGACCTCTGAGAAGGGGGCACTCTAAGGGAGCAACTGATGTAAGGGGACACTCTGCTGGGGACAGTTGATGTAAGGGGGCACTCTGTGGGGGCAGTTGATATTAGGGGACACTCCCATCGGGACAGTTGATGTAAGAGGGAGCTCTGATGGAGACAGTTGATGTAAAGGGGGCACTCTGAGGGGGGCAATTGATGTAAGGGGACTACGTGATGAGGCAGTTGATGTAAGGGGGAACTCTGATGTGGGCATTTTATGTAAGGGGTACTCTGATGGGGACACCTGATGTAAGGAGGAACACTTAAAGGAGCCTTGATGTAAGGAGAAACCCCGAGAACAACTCCTGATATATGGAGGGACTGTGTTAGGGACACCTGATATAAGGGGGCACAGGTTCCGTTTAATCACCCTAAACAAAATTCACTCCTGTACCACCTCTGCACTACCTGTCAGAGGATACTTCCAGGTTATGACTCCATGGTACAGCAGTGTGCCGAGTGAACAGTGAATATTGGTTCCACGCATTCCTGTAACATTACTGATATTATGCCCCCTGACTTTTTTTTTACTGCACCCCCAGATCAGATAGGCTAAATCTGGCCCTAAGCTAGACTCCAATTGTTAGCTAGGGCTGAGTAGTAGCTGAGTAGCAGCCTGGGAGTAATAGCTAGCAGGGGGTCAAAATTGGGTCAGAGGTGAGAGGCTCTGCAGACCAGCTTTCTGGGATTTCCCCCCCGCTCTAGAACTTTGGAGAAAAGTCTAGAAGCAGTGGGTGGATCTAAGGAGTGGTTGATCTGCTCTTTTGCAGGAGCCTGGCCAATCCCCAACAGGAAGCTTTGTAAGGGGCCAGGACAACCTTTAAAGGTGATTGAGCCTGCTCAGCTGCAGGAGAGTTCAGGTGGAAGAGAGAGAAGGATGTGAAAGGCTGCAGGCAGGAGCCTGTGAGGGGGGCCAGATGGAGAGGGGCTGCCCTGCAGGCAGAGGACCTTGAGAAACTGAAAACTTGGGACTTCACTGGCCCCCAGAGAGAGGACCACCTGTGTGGCAGGGAAGGAGCAGCCCAACTATAAATATAAATAAAATGGTGTAGCGCTCTTTCTGTATAAAACATAAACGAATAAACATATATATACAAATCAGTGAAAATAATGAATAAATTATGATCTGACCCTCCAGGAATCTAACATAATACTGCCAAAAAACGTGAATAAACGCGAATATGACAACTTGGTCCTAAATTGGACCCAATATAATGAATAAAAACTCATCCCCCCAATCCCAAAATTGGGATTATAGAACCATAAATAAAGTGCAATGAACAGTGTATCCCAAAATAGGGGCTAAATCCTACATAAAGTGACAAGTGCTCAAACTCAAAAAAGCAATATACACATGATAAACATACTCAAAACCTCTGTAAAATCTCAACAATTCATATGTAGAAAAAACTGTATAATGAAATATACATAAAATAGTGAGATAAAAATATATATATATATAAAGAGCATCCAAAAAAAGTGCAAAACTGCAAGAGGTGATCCAATATTCAAGGACATGCAGGTGATACGGTGCATGCGTGTACAAGCCGATATGAATCCTTAAATGGCTAAAATGCCCCTTCACCTCCTTACTGCGACCCAATGGGCCAGTGCGCCTTTCGGATCACACCAGGATCCTTCACGGATAACTCCTCAATATACAATATCCAGAGAAAATCCCCATCAATGGTGGCTCATAAACATCAAAGGTTCCCCTTCCAAAGATAGGTACCGCAATACAGCCAACTTACTCACACGGATCATATAATTGCCATGAAAGAAGAAGAGAGATCCTCCACAGTGTAACACTGTATCGTACAGAGGAGAGCGCAGAACATGTGTTTTTCTCTTGTTTTCAAAGCACTGACACTGTACTAATGGCACTGCGCAGGAAGGGGTTAACATGTGGGGCAATCAAAGGGTTAACTGTGTGCTGTTTTACTATGTGCTGTGTGTGTGCTTCACTGTAAGCACACTGCTTTGCATGGCTTTGCTATGAAAAGCCATGCATAGCAGTGTGCAGGACCTGATAGGGGAGAGAACTGTATTGTTTACTTACAGTTCTATCCCTTTGTCGGTAATGCTCCTTGATCACCGAGTGTCGGCATGTAAGCACCGGGTGGGACCCGGTGCTTGACAGCTGAGGCTGCGAATAGCGCCCCCCTACCCAGAGATGCGAAATCACGTATATATACATGATTTTGCGCACCTGTGCCACCCTGTAGCAGCATTACTGCTATAGGGCGGATGGGAAGTGGTTAAAGGATAAGCTCATATTCCGGTTGTAACATGTTCCAAATGGACCAGCCCCTGCACCCCCACAATCCCTGTTGTGACAGCTAGCGGAGGATCTTCTCGTCCCTGCTAGCTGTCACAATTTTTAACTCACAGTATTCTTTGAATATGAAAACTACAAGTCCCCACAGTCTTTGCAGCTGTCGGCTTGTAGTTTTCAATGAACTACCATGGCACTACACAGCCAGTTCTTTGAGTATCTGCTCGCCCATGCAATGCTTTAGAGGTTCCAGAAACAAAAAATACTAAATGCACATATTTTTACCTGCAAAAATGTGCATTTATTATTTTTTGTTAAAAGGTTAACTTATCCTTTAATGTTCTCCTTTCAGTGTACCCTCACCCAGGATCTCATCTCTCAATTCTCTTGGCTACCCAAAAGGGGAAGAAATGTTGCATTCTCTACTGTTACATAATTAACCCCCGTTAATTAAAAAAAAAAACAACAACAAAAAAAACCAATGGAATTATGGAATCTAAAATATTTTCAGGAGCTCAAACTCCTATTAATCCCTTTACAACCGCCCAACATATATGTGCGACAGCAAAAGGGTGGACTTTAACAACCACACACCGCAAATCTAAAAAATTCATGATGAATAGGTACAAAATGTTCTGTTTATACAGTACATGTTATATGTTTTCCTCTTGCTTTTCCTTAGACTGCAAAACTAGCTGCTCCCAACTGGATATTTCTTCACTGTTTGCCAAGAAAGCCTGAAGAAGTTGATGATGAGGTTTTCTACTGTCCCAAATCATTGGTTTTCCAAGAAGCAGAAAACAGAAAGTGGACTATCATGGTATGATTGATAAGAAATATGTTTAAGCTAAGCCCTTCTGCTCCAGCACTAGTCTATTTCATATACAATTTTTGTTTTTTCATGCCTGTGCAGAGCACTTTTCAGATATGCAGCTTAATGGCTGTATGTAGTGTACACATGGTGATAACTGTAACAAGCAGTAGCTGTTTGGTTCTCTAGCACTTCCTTTTACTTATACTTTGCACACTTGCGCAATGATATCTCCACTTTAAAGTGATTGTAAACCTCTGCAATAAAAAATGAACAGAACATATCACTCTATAGTGTGTATTATCCCCAATCCATAACACACAGAGTGATTTCTGTCTGCTCAGTCATTTCTCTGCTATTTGCATGATTAATTTCTGACAGTCTATGCTGATACCACAGAATCTGGGAAGATTGGGTCTGCCTCCCTCCAGCACACAGAAGGTGGGTGTTTTTCCCTTCACTCACATCCCAGATTACACACACATATATGCTGTGAAGTGTGTAACATCAGCTGTTCTCCCCCTGCCTGCTGGACCTGAGAAATAGCCTTTGATCTGTGTGTTTTAGAAGGCTATAGAGAAGAGAGGGTCATATACTGTATAAACAGGTACAACTTACAATATGTAGAAGGATGTGTTGATCTCTGTTTATAACTTGAGGCTTGTCACTTCAGTGGGTATATATAAAGGTTTACAACTGCTTTAATCCTGGTTAATGATAGTAATTCTGACACACCACAAATACATTTCAAACAAAGTATAAAGTATAGTGACTGTATAAAACAATATAGCATAGAGATAATAAAGGTGCAGCGCTATAGGTAAAAGCAATGTCATACAAATATCAATATAGACACAATTTTGCAATATATATAATAATAAAGTATAAAACAAGACCTAAGCTATTATAAAAACAGGCAGTTAGAAAACGCACCTAGTTAGAAATTATTTTTCATCAGTCTGTTCAGGGAATGACAGGCCTGAGGGGGAAAAGTGGTCTTTTTTTTCCCTGGCTCATTACTAAAAAGATACGAGAAAAACAGATATAGAGCATACACAGAAAAGAACCATTTGTGGTGCTAAGTAATTTGTGTGAAATTTGTTAATAACAAGAAAATTAGTAAAATAGATACCCTGCAGCCAGCAACAATAGACTCCCGGAGCAACAAAGAACCTCGGTAACAAAAGCAAAAATTGATCCTCCACCAGCAAACATAGACCATGCAAAAATAGATCCCCTCCAGAGACAATAGATTCCCCAGCAGCCAGCATCAATAGACCTTCCAGCACACACCAGCACCCTTTGCCATTACATATATTAATGGAGGTGCTGGAACTCAACGTTCCCGCTGAAAAAAGGCCCTGTACTTAACTATTCTGACATTCGTCAGAGTGCAATGACTACAGCTGGAAAATTTCTATATACTGTAGATTTACCCTGTTATTCTTTACAATATTGCACCTCTTCTGATATATCATATACTGTACTGCAACTATTTGTGACACCTCATGGCAAACTTATTAGAGCTTCTTTGGGTTTGATAGAAAGACTCCAAATCCAGAGCATTCTGTTGTTGTTGGACTTAATTGTGAATTGATGGCTTTTATTGCATTTTAGTTATTGTCACACACAGTGTGGCAATATTTAAGACCACCTTAGAGGATGCAGACTTATCTGGTACATTGTGGGCTATTATGTCACATTATGTTAACATGCTCTGCATTAATGAAATGCTACTGCACTGCAATGGACCTCAATGCATGGTATGTGTACTATTGGATGTTACCTTGTGTTGTGTGTTGGCGTTACTGAAATTTGAGTTGGGGTGCCATTCACAATGAGTGGAACTGTAATACACATAGAGCTGTGGGTTGATGTCCATTGTGATAATGCACATAATGATTTGTGGTACTCAAATGCAGTGCAGTTCCATTTTAAGTAATAACAAAGTTCACTGAACAAACAGGTTCATAGCAGAACTGTAAAAATTGCTCTGGACCATAAGGGGTAAACATGTGTGGAAGCCGAAGTGGTTAAGGAGCAGGGAGCCGCATCCTTAACTACTGATCACTGGTTCTCCGGTGATCTCCAGCTGAAGTGTAAACAAAACAGTTGCCCTGCAGGTATCAGTTACTTGGTATCGATGAGTACAAAAATAGAAAGTATCGGTACTCGCTGTAAAAAAATGTTATTGGTGCATCCCTAGTTTGGTGGTTTTCGAACATTTTAGTTAGGCTGATATGTTCGGCTTCTGCAGCATCTATCTATCAATTTGAGCTTGTCCAGTCAGAGGTTGCCTTGTATTCATTGAGAAAAATACAAGGCATTCTGTGAATTGTGCATGGGACCCAAAAGTCAGTGAGGATCACTATAGTAGCAATGGCTGCTGCAGCAATTTTTTGCTTCCACAGCAGTCGCACAGCTATGGAATATGTATATGTACATTGGTCCATGCTGGACCAGTGTAACTATGCAAAAAATACCTTAAATTCAGCTTTAAAGCCCAACTCCTATGAAAATTATTTTATCATTTTCAATAGAGTGGGTAAGAGTAAGAATCTCTGTCAAGGCAATTCTGATGTCTCTGCCCTCCTTGGAGAATATTTCTCCCCAGTTGATATTCCACTGTCACTGAAACATGAAGTGAGAGTAGACACAGTGCAATAAAAAACTTTCAGTGGTTCTGACCCTTACCCACCATATTAAATAATTGTTCTTCCTGCTGTGATTGAAACTTTTCAACTGCACAAAAAGTGACAGTAAATCTACCCAATGCAGACAGAGACATTAGTTAAAACCAGACAGAGGATCCAACACTTTTCCACTCTTCACTACAAAATTGAAAAAATGTTTTGGCCAGAGATGATCTTTAATAATCCTTCAGATTCCAAATGCATTATTCACTTATCTGCCATCATTTATTTTAGAATATTATACACAATTCTTGCAATGTGCTGTGTCAGCACTGTTTATGTGGTTTTTAATGGCACTGTGCTATACAAGCTAAATGATTTGTATCCAGCAAATACATCTGGGATTAGCTAGTTGGTCCCAAAGGGACCACTTGGTTGCCGATCGCGCTGTTGCCTCGTCATTAATTTTGCATACTAAAGCAATACGTTTTTAATGCATTCAAAGTTGTTCTCTTAAAAAAAAAGATAATAAGGTATCGCAGACACTGTGGCAGACAAATGGCTGTTATTGGCTTGCTTATATGTACAGGCACTGAGTTTTATTGCATTTGCCTGGTAGAGTGCAATTTTCGACACCTTCATTACTACCTCAATGTAGGACCACAAGGACATGTTCTTGTTTTGCTGGTGGAGAATGAGATGACTATTCCTACTGATATAGAGAAAATGGAGAAAATGTGTGGCCAACAATTATACAGGGAAAAGTAGCCCCCATGTCTTTGCCACCTATAGTCACTTGCCTACTGTTCTTAATAGAAAAAATAGCAATATGTAGGAACATTTGCCTTCTAACTATGATGGATAAATAGAGGATCATTTGCTATAGGGGACGTGCAAGATAGTGTCAAGTGGAGTGGGTTAAAGACCCATTTCATCCTGTCCTGTACAAATCCTTTAAATATTAGGGGATATTACTCAGGAAGACAGAGAGTTGATCAGGGGTAGAATGAGGTACCAGCTTAAATAGATCATGTTGGGGGATCTGGAAGATCTAAATCCCCTGCTACAGCCATGGCAGTCAGCATTTCCTTGAATTCAAAATAGCAGAATCACTCAACCCTTCTGGATTTCCGTAGGAAAAAATTAAGAATATGAGGCAATTGGCTACATTACATTTCATGTAGCCACAGACTTGTAACATACAGTTGCAAGAAAAAGTATTGAACCCCTTGGGATTACGTGAGTTTTGCATTTGAATTGGGCATTTTGCTCTGAAGTCATCTAAGTCACATTTACAATAAAGAACACTTGTAGGCTGAACAAATATACACAAATATTAGATGTTGCATGTTTAATTGCACATAAAACGTAAACATTCACAGTGCACAGGAAAAAGTATTCAACCCCTTAATGACTTCAATCTTAGAGCTAAGTGGAGCCAGGAGTTTTACAAACTTGACTCCAATCAGTGTGATGATATTGAAGCATGTGTTGCTGACAGCTGTCCTGCCCTTAAAAAACACACACCTGTTTTGGGTTTACTGGTTTCAAGAAGCACTGTCTGATGTGAACCATGCCTCGCAGGAAAGAGCTCTCAGAAGACCTATGATCAAGAATTGTTGACTTGCATGGAGCTGGAAAGGGTTACAAAAGTATCTCCAAAAGCCTTGATGTTCATGTGTCCACGGTAAGACAGACTGTCTACAAATGGAGAAAGTTTAGCACTGTTGCTACTCTCCCTAGGCGTGGTCGTCCTGTAAAAATGACTGCAAGAGCACAGTGCAGAATGCTGCATGAGGTAAAGAAGAATCCCAGAGTGTCAGCTAAAGACCTACAGAAATCTGACTGGCACATGCTAACATTTTTCCTGACACATCTACAATAAGGAAAAATTAAACAAGAATGGAGTACATGGGCACACCACGGAGAAGCCATTGCTGTCCAAAAAAATATTGCAGCATGTTTGACCCTCCACCATGTTTGCAAAAGAGCACCTGGATGTTCCACATAGCACTACTGGCAAAATATACTGTTGACAGATGGGCCCAAACATTTCTAATTTTTGGGAAGAACAGAACACACAACACTATTGTGGAGTCCAAAAGGCACAGCATACCAACATCAAAACCTCATCCCCTTTGTGAAACATGGCGGGGGACGCATCATGGTTTGGGGCTGCTTTGCTTACTCAGGGTGGACGGATTGTTGTCATTGATGGGAAAATTCTGTACCCAGAGTTGATAAAGACATTTTGCAGTTCCTCAGCGTCAACGGGGATCTGTCCGCCAACTGAAGCTCCAGCAGAGGATGGGCAGATGCAACAGGATCAATGACCCAAACCATACAAGTAATTCAACAAAACAATGCCTGCAATTTGCACAGAATGATGCCTTCTGGAGTGGCCCAGTCAGAGTCCTTTGCACCTCAACCCGATTGAAATGCTGTGAAGCATGACCTCTTCTCTTGCGATTCACCATTCCAGACATCCCAAGAATATTGCTACACTGAAACAGTTTTGTGAAGAGGAGTGGTCCAAAATTACTCCAGATCGTTTTGCAGGTCTGATCTGCAACTTGCAGTGCTTATTATGGTTGATTGTGCTCGGTGACATGCCAAAGGAGGGTTTCAACCAGTTATTAAGTCCAAAGGTTCACATAACTTTTTCTTCCCTGTAGTCTTGAATGTTTTAATAATTGTGCAATTAAGAAACCACATAAGAACATCATTTTTGTACTAGTATTACATAAACAACTGATGTTCATTTATTGTTTGTGACTTAGACAACGTTCAGTAGGATTTGATTTTATGAATACAATTCAAATGCAAAACTCCACGTAAACCCCAAGCATTGGGGGTTGAATACTTTTTCCACAACTGTAGATTATGCAAAATTATTAGCAGTATTAGCATGTAAAATATATCTGATTAAAATTGCTCATATTTTGAATAATTACTAGTCTAAGATATGCCAATCAGCAAGCATAAAAGGCAGCACCTACTTTTCCATCCTTCCAAAAGATCAGTATCAGCTTGGACATAGAACAAGTGATGCAGAATATAAAATCATAAGAAAACTGCATCTGCCCTTGTATGTAGTCATTGTAGAACTACTTCCATTGTTCCCTACATGACCTAGCTATATTCCCAAATATTCATATCTGCCCAGTTTGACCAGTTATACAAAATATCAGGCTACCTAAATCTAACCCTGTATCTGGGGACATGCTTCTCAATCAATGGCCTTAATTATCCTACAGATTAATTGCCATTTTTTTTACCTCCATAACAGTGTTTCATCTTGTCCTCCTTAGGGCGTGATGGTGTCTCTACTGACGGATTACTCACCTCAGTTACTAAGGCCTACATTCTAATTTTCAGCAAATGCCTGAAACACAAGAATGGTAAAAGCGTCAAAACAAATGAATAATTCATTCAAACATGCTGCTAAGTGGTGCTTATTGTACTCTTCTATATAGTTGTTCTCGCTAAAATCAGACTTGGAGATTGCTTGATTGTTCAGATATTAAAAGTTTTGAAAATTGTTTTGCTGTTTATAATTTTATGCTTCTTGTTATTTCATTACTCATTTCATGAGGATATTAGATATTAAATTATCTTATGTGAGTCTGTTTCCCTTATAAACTAGTTTCTAAGCCTTTACACATATTTATTTTGTTTTGGACCTGTAGCAATCCATACACCATGTACATTGCACCACATACTAATTCTTGAAGTTGGATTCTAGTACATATTTCAAACTACATTGAGACAGTGTAGAGAAATGTCTTTTTGATGTACTGGAGCTGGACAGAGAGATGGAGAACAGTGTCCTCATTGGGGTGAAAGGTAAAAGGCCAAAACCACTCTGGGGCTCAACACCACCTTACCTTTCTGTAAGATCAGGGCTGACACAGTTGTTAGCTCAGAAAAATGCATCACTGACAAGAAAAGCAACCTTGTGAGTAATGCAGGCCATAGATGGGTCGAAAAAAAAAAAAAACCGAAAAATCGGTCGTTCAATAGGCTGACGTTACCACCAACGGTAAAAAAAAAAATTGGCCGATTTTCGTCTCGTCGACGGCCAGCATTTAATTACTTCTGTCCCTGCAGAGAGCTCCGCTATTATATTTGACATTAAAAAGTATAGCGGTTGCAACACTGTATCTATTTGTATCCATTTCGGATACAGATGTTTTTATTCAGATACAAATAGATACATTGTTGCAACCGCAATACTTTTTCATGTCAAATATAATAGCGGACTGGAATTCTTCTTCTTCTCCTTCTTCTTCTTCTTCTCCTTCTTAATTTTTTTCTTCTTCTTTTTTTGCAGGTCACGTCTCATGCGCAGATTTTTCTATCGGTAAAGAGATGGGCCAATTTGCCCATCATTACTGCGAAAATTGGCCGATGGGCAAAATTGGCTGATTTTTTTCCAACTTTACCGATTAAAAAAAAGTGCCAAAATCCAGAAAAATGGCCGACCAATTAACCCATTTTTTTTTTTTTCAGCCAAAAAATCGGCCAATTTTCGACCCATCTATGGCCTGCCTAAGGTTGGAAAGGGGACTATCACTGATCTAAAGGCAATCTTTGAATTGCCAAAAGAATGCGCAGATTTTTCTATCGGTAAAGAGATGGCCAATTTGCCGATCATTACTGCGAAAATTGGCCGATTGGCAAAATTGGCTGATTTTTTTCCAACTTTACCGATTAAAAAAAGTGCCAAAATCCAGAAAAATGGCCGACCAATTAACCCATTTTTTTTTTTTCAGCCAAAAAATCGGCCAATTTTTGACCCATCTATGGCCTGCCTAAGGTTGGAAAGGGGACTATCACTGATCTAAAGGCAATCTTTGAATTGCCAAAGAATTAAATTCAAATCCCTTGGAGTCACAGGGGGTTGCACAGGAGAAGCTACAAGAGAGACTCCCTGTAAAAAAGTCTTAACCAAAGAATGAGAGGCTAGCAGACTTTGGAATGAGATTGCTAGGGCCAGCTGTTTTTACTGGCCTGATTGTAAAAAAGTAAGGATTAATTTCATGGAGTATTAGTGGGGTGAAAGTTTGTTCCTTCCCCCACGCCAAGTATGATTTCCATGTGCAATGGTAGACTCTGTGGAAGGTAGACTTCCTAGGTTTTAACAAAATGGGGATCACTGAGTCAAAGAGAGCCCTTGTCTCTCAAAATGTAAGCTTCAACAGCCATGCAATGAAAGCCAGCAACCGTGAATCAGGGTGGTTAACCGTCCTTAGGATCAAAGATTTAGTCGATATGGTGTTTGCCAGCAGTTTTATCAGGTCAGAGTACCACATCCAATGTGGAGTGAGCTATGACACTGGAACGCCCTCCATCTTGACTCTGTAGTGTGGGTTAGGAAGAGGTTTCAGAGAAGGAAAGGTTTGGATAAGGATATAATAACTTATAGGAGTCACCAGAGCATCCACAGTTTCTACCAGAGGATCTCTGCACCTGAAGAAAAACTGTGCAGTTTGTTGTTACACCTGGACACCAGGAGAGCCACATCTGCCAACCCCCAACCTGAAACATAGATACTGAGTGATCCACAGAGAGGCCCATAACAGAATTTTCAAAGAACCTGTCCAAATTTGTGAGTCACAAACTTCTCTGCCACCAGAAGGTAAGTGATGGTCCTAACCACCACTATCTCCAAGACCCTCAGGAGACGTCAATGACTCAACTATTACACAACCCAATGGTCATCCAGCTAAGGTCTATGCTCCTTCCAGCTAAGGTCCATGAATCCTTCTGAACCACAATCCACTGATGTGCTTAAAGACAGAGACACTTGCTCCAGAAGATGGAACAAAGACTCAACCCTTGAGGCACTTCCAGAAACCTAACTTGGGAAGACCCCCTGTACACTTTGAACAGGATGAATTGAACTGTCAGGCCAAGGAAGCTGGGCAAGTGATTATCACCAGCATGTGTGCAGTCAATAAGGCTGCTTCTCTAAGTAACTGTCAGGAACACCTCTCTAGTTGTTACCAGAGTATTCAAGTACTAGTGATTTTCCTCCCCCCGTGCCTTTGTCCTGGGAATTCCTCAGTTACTTGCCTGTGTTACCTAGTGCTAGGTAAGTAGTGTTTTTTCAGCTAGACTATGCCGTGTAGCTATGCTACCCTTATTGGGTCACAGAGATGTTGTTGTGAAGAGAACATGTCTGTGAAGTTTTCATGATCTGTTTTGAATGTATCTGCAGTGTATGCATGCTTTTTGCCATTAAGCAACATGAAGACCAAAGATTTCTAAATTTAAAACTGAATTATCCGTGATGGGACTAAAATATCAACATCATGAAAAAATGCAAACTTTTACCCCCAATCAAGAAAAAATCTATCTTTAAAATCACATTGTTGAGTGGGTCAACAAATCTGAGGACCTGAGTAAAGTATTACAACCGCCCAAAAAATCTAGGCAGCTGAAAATTTTTATAAACACATTATCATAACAATACAAAACTACCTGCAGTGATAGGATGGTGCCATTTTCAACAGTAGTCTTTTGTACCCTATAAATGTGTATATAGACCCACACGCTGCCAAAAATGTGAATCAAGGTTACTAAACAGTATGCCACATGTAAAAGTGCAAAAAGTAAACAACACCAGAAAATACAACTAATGTCCTATGTATCAGTAAGTCTCATTCAAATATTAGTTGCTTAACCAAAAGATAAGTGAACTGGTGCTGGTGCCATTTATAACAGCTAAAGTGTCCACTTCCAGGTGCTCCAGGTGACCCCATATGGATTTTCACTCACTGCAATGAATGGGCCTTCTATAACCAGATAGGTCTCACTGCACTTTTTTGGTTGGACCCACTGTGTGTCTTGTCACCAACAAGACCATACATATGTTCCAGGATGCAATTCCTTCCATTGCAATACACCGCCACTCAAAAAACAGGATCAGGGTATTACTGTGCTTGATTGGCCAGCAAACTCACCTGACCTGAACCCCATAGAGAATCTATGGAGCATTGCCAAGAGAAAGATGAGAGACATGAGACCGAACAATGCAGAAGAACTGAAGGCCGCTATTGAAACATCCTGGTCTTCCATAACACCTCAGCAGGGCCACAGGCTGATAGCTTCCATGCCACGCCGCATTGAGGCAGTAATTGCTGCAAAAGGGGCCAAAACCAAGTACTGTGTACATATGCATGCTTATACTTTTCAGAGGTCCGATATTGTTCTAGGTACAATCCTTGTTTTATTGATTGCATGTAATATTCTAATTTTCTGAGATTGTGGATTTGGGGTTTTCATGAGCTGTAAGCCATAATCATCACAATTATGACAAATCACAGCTTGAACTATCTTGCTTTGCATGTAATGAGTCTATCTCATATATTAGTTTCACCTTTTAAGTTGCATTACTGAAATAAATGAACTTTTGCACGATATTCTAATTTTTCGAGTTTCACCTGTAAATCAAGTGCTCAATATATAACATGAGCAGTGAATAAGGTTCAAAAAAAATCAAACCTCGGTTTTCGTCTGTGTAAGTGCTTCAGTGCTCCGCCATCTTTAAATACATATGCTGTTTACCGGAAGGAAAACCCTCAAAATAAAGGAGGTCAACTAGTGCTTTATCGCCACAGACCATAACACTGACAATTTCAATCAATCTTTCCTTTGCGGGAACAGATATTACATGAAGCAATATCAGATCAGGCAAGGAAAGAGAAGAAAAAGGAACTCCATAGTATTGTGTATCCAAACACCATTTGTTTGTAACAGAAAGGTGCTCACAAGCAGTAATATGCCACAGGCACACAAACTCCGCATTGCTCCGACAAGCGAGAGGATATGATGACATTAAGCTCTGTCCAACACATTTTGCCTCCACGGACATTGTCAAGTAGCAATAAGAGTCCTAAGGGAAAGCTCCCAGAGCTAGAGCCTCAAAGATTACATCTATGTGTGTGTGTGGGGGGCACCTCACTCATGCGCACAGGGCCTTTTCCCTCCTCCTCCCTTTCTGGTGTGTGCATTCACTAATGCCCAGGACAAGACAAGGGCCACGGTCATGCGATTTCAGCATTAAAGCGGCACCAACAATTAGAAGTGAGGAGCCGCACACCCAATGTGCCTGTATCACAACCAGAGGCCTTTCTGAATGAGCCACACTATCCCATGATACATTCACCCCCATGGAATGTGACATTTTGAAGCAGACACTGCTGAGCATATGTTCCATTCCACCAGTTCAGCCTTCCTATCACCTTATTCCCAATCAAAAAGGGACATGAACATTTGATCCTATTTCGAAAATAGGAACGGAATCTTTCAATGTAAGAAGAGATGTTGCCTTACTTGCCAATTCATTACACATGGTCGCTCAGATATTATAGACCGTAAAGGTGACCTTTTCATATAAAACCGTTCATAACCTGTGCAATGGATTTTGTAACTTATGTGCTCTCATGCCCTTGTAAACTATTGTATGTAGACCGCACCATACGCCCCCTACGAAAGCATATTGGGGAACATCGTAGGTTGATTAACGATGGATGTGACAAGCATAGTGTTCCCCGACATTTTCTTCATGCCCATAGTAAGGAGTTTGGGTGTCTGAAAGTTATAGCAATTCAGCATATTGAGAAGAGATCTCTGACAATGAAAAATTCTCCCTTCTATGCAAGAGAGAGACATTCTGGATATTTAAATTAGGCTCAATGTCCCCCAATGGTTTGAATGAAGACCTTGAGATTCACAGCATTGTCTGAATATGTATTTTTATTTCAGTATTTTATTTTTATTAATTGAATTTTCATCAGATTAATTGAGTTATACAATTTATTTATAGGCGTATGTGTTTAGTGGAGGTTTGTGAACTACCCCACTGTTCTATGTTGATGAACACCAGTAGTAAGTTCTCTCTTTTTTTTTGTAATTTATAGTCATGACTTTAATTTTATAGCTCATTCTTAATATTTTTTATAGTGTTTATTTTATATGGATGTTAATAAATGATCTTCTTGCATAGTCTGTATACAAGTTTTATATATATGTATGTAATTTTTTAAACTATTTTGTACATAACGTTACACGTTGATATGGGATTTGGCAAGTGTATAAGGGCTGTGCAAGGGCATGTCCGCTCCAGTTCCCCCCCCCCCCCCCCGCGCTGATTGCTCTTATAATCCATATAATGCGAAATGCGTTGTTGTGGTTACCAGCTGAGCTTGTGTTCCACTCCCAGTGCTCCATTTCTGCTTCCTTCCCGGTCGCAGTGGCGTCTCTTCTGGAGCGCCTCGATCCCCGGCCGGTCCAGGAACACATCGAGGAGAAGCATCTCTTCCTGGTCCGGGGACGCAGGTGAGCGGGCATTCCACCTTAGAGCCTGCTGATCTGGAGGGGGTGGTGATTGTGCTGGGGGGAGAATGACCTGGGGGGTGATTAATTTGGAGGATCAATTCAGTCTCAGACTCCTGAACTGTATACACTATATTGTACATTACATACTTCAGATAAAGTGTTTGTTCTCTGTCTATTTTCAGTGTGCACAAAATCATATGTAATGGAAGAGAGACTTACTTGTGGCACAGCAATCTAAGCATTTTTTGTGTACAAAAAGGCTTTTGTTACATTTAACATGCCCCTTTAAGCAGCTAACACTGTTAACACAATTCATAGCAAAAAGTATAAATAAAAAATATCCCCCTATGGGTTTTTAATGCAGCAAACATATCGTTAACATGTACTCAAAAGGAACTCTTTTAATTCTGTACTTTATTACATAGAAGTGTTGGTAAGAGATACATTATCTTTAAAAACATTGACTCTGATAACTATTGCAAGGATATTTTCCTTCACATTACAACAAAATTTCCAAAAGTTAAACCGACGCGTTTCGATCATTCCACCTTTTGATCTTTTTTTTTTTTTGGGGGGGGGGGCATAAATACAAGAAGAATTTCTAAATAAACATATTTGAAATAAGTGGTAATTTGTATTTAAGAAATTTTATCAATACCATTCATATTATTGCCAATTTGATACTTACAGGGCAATTGAGCAATCAATATTAAGCAGAGCAATCATAAAATACTGAAATCCAAGATGAGGCTGCATGGTCTGAGATTTAATGGCGTGAACCATCGGAAGGGAAAGGGTGGTCAAATATCTATCTCATAGTGTTGACAGCAAAAGGAGAAATCAGATTTACTCCAACTCATACAAGTACACAAGGAACTTTTGGAACTCATTAACGTGTAAATTACATAAGCTTTTACTTTAAATCTAAACTCTGGGGTAAGAAAAAAGTCTAAATTCAAGAAGAATGAGTATTCTTACATTAATCTTGCTTGGCGTATTTCTTTCTGATCTGTGTAGTAATCCAGTATGGAATTTGCCTCCTAGCAGGGGCTTCCAGTATTAAGACCACTCACTACCGTACTTTCTGTTTTAGCAGAATGACTGGTCTTATATCTGCCCCCTCCTCTAGTTTTTATTAGGAAGCCTGTAGTTGTTGTAGTAGTAGTTCTGCACTGTGCACAGGCTATGTGCATTTGAAAAGAAGAAATCCGACACTCCAGCGCTCAGAAAAAGATGCTTCCCATGAGACCTTGCAAGCAAAGCTTATTATTATTATACAGGATTTATATAGCACCAACAGTTTGCGCAGCGCTTTACAATATAGGGGAGACAGTACAATTACAATACATTTAAGTACAGAAGGAATAGGAGGGCCTTGCTCGTGGAGCTTACAATCTAAAGGAAGGGGGAGATGATACAAAAGGTGATAGCTGCGGGGGATGATCTGGCAGAGGTGATTCAAGTACAGTTCTTAGGTGGAGGTGGGGTAGGCTTCCCTGAAGAAGTGAGTTTTCAAAGATCGCCTAAAGGCAGACAGGGTGGGGGCTGACCAGACATGCTGTGGTAGGGAGTTCCAGAGGATGGGAGAGGCTCTGGAGAAGTCCTGGAGGCGAGCGTGGGAGGAGGTGATGAGGGAGCTAGAGAGGAGGATATCATGGGAGAAGTGGAGCGGGCGATTTGGGCGGTATCTGTGGATGAGTTTGGTGATGTAGCTAGGGGCAGTGTTGTGGATGGCTTTGTAAGCTGTTGTTAGTATTTTGAATTTTATACATTGGGTTAGTGGAAGCCAGTGGAGGGATTGGCAGAGAGGGTCAGCAGTCGTTGATTGGTTGGTAAGGTGTATGAGTCTAGCAGCAGCATTCATAATAGACTGAACGGGGGATAGCCTGTGTAACGGTAGACCAGTGAGGAGGGAGTTGCAGTAATCGCGGCGGGATATAACCAAGGCGTGGATAAGTTGTTTTGTGGTGTCATTGGTCAGGAATGGGTGGATTGTGGAAATGTTCCGGAGGTTGAGGCTGCAGGATTTAGCCAGTGAGTGAATGTGGGGCCCAAAGGAGAGGTCAGAGTGTAGGTTTACGCCTAGCACCCTGGCATGAGGGGAAGGACCAATGGTTGTGTGGTGCAGCCCTCCTCAGACTGGGCAATCTACAAACAAAACTGCAAAAACACAGAAGGGCACAAATGCCTAGTGCATTACCACCATCAACATTTATTGGATCTAAAACAATTACAAGCACTCCAGTCATGGGTTACGTCATCTATTCATGACCCAAGTGTCCAAACACCTGACACCTTTTTGGGAGTAACAACCTTCCTCAGAGCTCTGAGGAATAGGGTTACCCCTGAAACGCATCAACAATAAACACCTGATAAAGGTTTTAAACACTTTCGAGGTCTATCCTACAACCAAAACAACATTTTCATTGTAGATATACTTTAGTTTACACAAAAATTGTTCAAAAGGGGACATATAGAGCAAAAACAAAAAAGTTAATTAAAATGAATGTATTTATAAAACATTTGCATAGCAATTCATCCAGTGAAAGTGCATATACAGTCATTCTGAGCAAATGGGGTGAAAAACTGAAAATTTAGCTATTTCCTGAGTGGTTCATGTGTTTTTTTTATTATTAAAGTATTACTAAACCAAAGACCCTGCATTCATTTTTAGTAAACTATAAACTGCTAAATACCTTTTCCCATCAGCAGTTTGAGCTATCTTGTGACTTCTATCAGTGTTCAGCAGAGTACTGGCAAAAGCTTGTAGGAGGAGTTTTCTTTCTGCTCTAGGAGGATGCAGAACCCCTGACCCTTTGTCTGAACAATGCTGATTGGCCCTGTGCTGATCACATGCACTCTCCCAAGAAAAAAAACCCTCTAGCAATACACACCAAACTGAGCATGTGCAGAGTGTCTCCACACAATATGTCTTATCAGGAGATAAGAGGGGGGCACTGGAAGAAGAGGAGGATCAGAGAAGACAGGATCAAACAGCATTTTTACACAGTGCAGAGGATTAACCCCTTAGGTTCCACAGTGAGTACAACATGCATGCTTTACTGAATATACAGACTGATTTTACTGTTGTAAAGTGTTACTAAACCCACAACAGTAAAATCAGTCTGTATATGCAGTACAGTATGCTTGTTATACTCACTGTGGAACCTAAGGGGTTAATCCTCCGCATTGTGTAAAAAGAATGTTTGATCCTGACTTCTCTGACCCCCCCCCCCCCCTTCTTCCAGTGTTGTCTCCTGATAAGACATATTTTGTGGAGACACTCTGCACATGCTCAGTTTGGTGTATATTATTATTATTATTACTACGAGTTTATATAGCGCCAAAGGGTTTGCTCAGCGCTGTACAACAGAGGGGGGACTATTGCTAGAGAGGTTTTTTTTTTTTCTTGGGAAAGTGCATGTGGTCAGCACAGGGCCAATTAGCACTGTCCATACAGAGGTCTGGAATCCTCCTAGAGCAGAACGAAAACTCCTCCTACAAGCTTTAACATGTGACACTGATAGAAGTCACAAGACTGCTCTAAATGCTGATGAGAAAAGGTATTTAGCAGTTTATATTTACTAAAATAATTTAATTTCCATGTTCTGTGTACTGTGGGAGACCAGATATAGTGAATGCAGGGTCCTGGGTTTAGTAACACTGAAAAATGAAAAATACTGCATTGTCCACTGATGATCAGTATCACAAGAATTTCCTTTGGTGCTTAGCGCCATCTAGTGCCCAAATGCAGTCATTTCCATTTTAAATCAAAAAATGTTTGACTGGTACAGGAAATAGCTTATAAACATTTGGGGGGGGGGGGGGGGGGAGGGGGGGTTGCCCCATTTTCACAGAATGAATGTACATGTACACTCACCAGGTGAATTGCTATGAATTTTTTTTTATAAATGCACCCCAAAATGTAAAGGTTTTGATCACAGATCTGTAAGTGCCTTGTGTAAAAATCCTGAACTGGCTTAACTGTGTCCCCAGAATCACACTTTGTATTAGCTGATCTCCATTAGACCACTTTCTTTAATATAATTATATGTTCAGCTCTGAAATAGGGATGATTAGTGTAGAGCTGCAATTATCCTCTTTGTCTTGGAATTTCCCTGTTGAACATCTGCCCTTACAAATGGTCGGTCATGCAGCTAAGTCTGTTAAGCACTGCTCTTAAATGAAACATGGATTTTTACAAGATGATTGACACCTACTGTATCCAGACTACCAGTTCTAATACAAGAATTGTCTCTGTAGTGGTAATGGAAAATGTAGCTATGTTGTAAATAAAGAATAACTATAGTTATTGTGTGATATACTGATTCAGTAACCAATGCAGTTGCAGGGGGAAGACTTTATTTGTAAAGGGAGAGCTTACCTCATATGAGTAGGCAGCAGTTCTTTCTCTCTGGGGCCACCTCTGTTGCCCATGTACGCTGCCCATGCATACTGTTTCTAAGTGCCATCTAGTGGGAACTTTGAAAAATGAAACAAAGCTAGGTTTATGCATACCTCTGATGTGAAGGGTATAAAGCAGTGGATCTCAACCTCCCTAATGCCGCGACCCTTTAACACAGTTCCTCATGTTGTGGTGACCCCCCCAACCATAAAATTATTTTCGTTGCTACTTCATAACTGCAATTTTGCTACTATTATGAATCGTAATGTAAATATCTGATATGCAGGTGTATTGTCATTGTTACAAATTGAACATAATTAAAGCATAGTGATTAATTACAAAAACAATATGTAATTATATATTGTGAAATATTTATTTCTAATTACAAATAAAATTAAATTTTGTCTTGAAGCATGGTGTAGCATGGGTAACAGTCTTAATATAACAACAGTAAACTACATTGCTACATTTTGCGACAGTAGTAGTAGACAGAGTAGCTGCTTTCAACACAGCAGGTGCTTTCTACACAGTAGCTGCTCTATACACATGTATGACTGGTCCACATAAGTACATTATGGCGCCAACCCTGTCACATACACCTGTATTTGTACAGGGTGTATGTGATGGGGTTGGCGCGATGATGGCATCACGCCGGGTACTCGTATGTGGGCATATCTGCATGTGGGCGGACCTGCCTGGAGATGGATAGAGCAGCGGTGTCTCGGTTTCTAAGACCATCGGAAATATGTTTTTCCGATGGCCTTAGGCGACCCCTGTGAAAGGGTCGTTCGACTACTATAAAGGATGAATATTCCTCATGCTTGCCTGAAATGCTTTGATTTGTCTGGAAAATTTGGGCTATCTGCTGCCTGTCTGGACCAATATCTGACTACTTTGTCCTGATTCTCTAAAGTCATCCCTAAGCATTGCCTGTTACATTATTCTGGAATGGAGAAAATGGAGAAATATAATGGTTTTGGATGGTTTTTTTTCATGACTTATGTGTTTGTAAACTGTTGTTTCACACTAAATTTATATTGTAAACTCTTGTTTCACACTAAATTTATATTTTATATATATATATATATATATATATATATATATATAAATAATACCATATATATATATATCTCACCACCGGCCACTTTATTAAGTACACCTGTTCAATTGTTTGGTAACACAAGTTGCTAATCAGACAATCACATGGCAGCAACTCAATGCATTTAGGCATCTGGACACGGTGGAGACGACTAGCTGAAGTTCAAACTGAACATCAGAATGGGGAAAAAAAGAGATTTAAGTGACTTTGAACATGGCATGGTTGTTGGTGCCAGACGGGCTGGCCTGAGTATTTCAAAAACTGACGATCTACTGGGATTTTCATGCACAACCATCTCTATGGTTTACAGAAATATCCAGTGAGTGGCAGTTGTGCGGACGGACGAAATGCCTTGTTGATGTCATGAGGGGAATGGACAGACTGGTTCTAGATGATAGAAAGGCAACACTAACTCAAATAACCAAGGTATGTAGAATACCTTTTCTGAACAGAGAACATGTCAAACCTTGAATCAGATAGGCTGTAGCAGCAGAAGAGTACACTGGATGTCACTCCTGTCAGCTGAGAACAGGACATGGAGGCTACAATTCACACAGGCTCTCCAAAATTGGACAATACAAGATTGGAAAAATGTTGCCTGGTCTGATGAGTCTCAATTTCTGGTTTCTTGAACATGACAATGAGTTCACTGTACTCTAATAGCCTCCACAGTCACCAGATCTCAGAACAACAGAACACCTTTGGAATGTGCTGAAACGGCACATTCGCATCATGGATGTGCAGCTGACAAATCTGCAGCAACTGCCTGATGCTGTCATGTCAATATGGACCAAACTCACACAAACTCACTCTCCACTCTTCACAAATTCCCCCCCACTTTTCACCACAGTTCTCACCTCTTCAAAAATGCCCCCTCCACTCTTCACAAATTCCCCCCCCACTCTTTACAGCCTTCACCTCTTTACAAATTCCCCCTCCACTCTTCACAAACTCCCCCTCCACTCTTCCCAACCCCCTCCCCCCCCACTCCCTCACAAATCCCCCTCCCTCACTCTTCACAGCTCTCAGCTCTTCACAAACACCCCCCTCCGCTTTTCACCCCTCCCCTCCCCCCCCACACACTCTTCACAGATGTCACCTCTTCATAAATTCCCCCCCCCCCACTCTTCACAAATTCCCCTCCCTCCTTTTTACAGATTTCACCTCTTCACAAATCCCCTCTCCCACTGGTCACAAATTCCCTCCCCCCCCCTCTTCACAATTCTCCCCCCACACACATGCACACTCTCACCCCACAGCTCACACCTCTTCACAACCCCCCCCCCCCCACAACACACGCTCTTCACAATTCCCCCTTCTCACAGCTCTCACCTCTGCACACATCCCCCCCTCCCCCCACACCTTCTCAAAAGCTTTCACCCCTTCTTAACCCCACCCCTGCCCCCTTTTTCATAGCTCACTTTTTTATAAATTCTTCCCTCCCCCCACTCTTCACATCTCTTACCTCTTCACAAATCTCCTCCTCCATTCTTCACAAATCCACCCCTTCTCACAGCTCCCACCTCTCACAAATCCCCCCCATACATGCACTCTTTACAAATCCACCCCTTCTCACCTTCGCATAGCTCTCACCTCTTCACAAATTCCCCCATCACTCTTCACAAATCCTCCCCACACGCTACACAAATTCCCTCCACATTCTTCACAGCTCTCAAATCTTCACAGATCCCCCCCCCCACACACACTTTACGAATCCTACCCTACCCCCCACAGCTCTCACCTCTGCACAATTCTCCCCACTCCCAGCGGTCACCTGTTCACTACTCCTCCAACCTTCCCCCCACAGCTGCCTTTCTGCGCAACTGCCCCCACCTTTCCCTCCACAGTTCTCTCTCACCTCTTCATAAAATCCTCACAGTGGTGCAGCAGTGCTCTCAATGCTCTCATAGATGTGCGTGGGCTTTTTTTCTCCAACACATCCGAATTGTAGCACATAGAGGAAAGCACAGAGCCAAGGAGGGAGGAGTTTCTTAACACTTCACTCAGCTCTATGCTACACAGGTCAGACAGGTGGGGGCGGGGACAGAAACAGCTTCCCAAAGCACTACACAAATGCAAATAAAATTTTTTTTACTGGACATGTTTAATAGCAAAAAGTCAAAAATATAGTTTTTTTTCTCAAAATTGTCGGTCTATTTTTTGTTTATAGGGCAAAAAATAAAAAACGCAGAGGTGATAAAATACCACCAAAAGAAGGATCTATTTGTAGGGAAAAAAGGACGTAAATTTAATTTGGGTGCAGCATTACATGACCGCACAATTGTCAGTTAAATTAACGCAGTGCCGTACCGCAAAAAATGGTCTGGTCGGGAAGGGGGGTAAATCCTCTGGAGGGCAAGTGGTTAAAGACCTGCCTACATTCAATCGAATCTGATGCACTAAAATCAGGCATATGGGGATTCATTCCCCTTCCTTCTAGTGAATCGGGACCAGGCAGTAAGGTGTAAACGGAGACGCGGTCCATTTACATCTCACCGCCCATAGAGGAGAGCGTCCTATGTCTGCTCTGCATAAGCAGAGCAGACACAGACCATCATCCACCTGCTCAGTGGGGATCAGTGGACAGATCTCCAGTCTTTATGAAACTGAGATTTAGCTTTGCAGTCACTTTTGCTGCATTGTTTTCCTATTCCTGGTCACAATCCTGCACAATGTCTTTTTGTCTCTTTTGGTCAGTTGACCATGTCAACCGCGCTTATGCTTATCAAACAATGTTTTCCTGGAAACTGTATATATTGTCATAACGTTTGATGCTGTACCTCGTGATACGGCAAATAAATTGGCAACTTCAGTCACAGAAGCACCAGCTAAGTTGCACCAACGATTTGCCCTTACTGAAGCTCAGTAAGCTCTAACATGACTCCGTATTACTAGTAGAGCACATGGTGAATGATGAAA